TCTGAACATGCTCACATCACCTCTAGGTCACATAAAAGACATTTCAAAAGAAGTTAGAAGAAGAGTAACGAGAAGGATATAGGTGTAGAAGGTGGGATTACAAGACATGCTCTTTTGCAAAAATAAGGGACATGTAAAAATAGGAATGCCCAAAACATGTAGTTTGGTTCAATAAGAAAGGTAAGGATGTTACCTCTTATGATTTATGAATCCTATCTAGTAAACATGTGGTAACATAAAAAAGATAAATGTTGAAGCCATAGGGACATATCATCTCATTTTAAATGTCGATTTTAATATAGATTTCATAGATACTATCTATGTACCCACATTTAAAAGAAATATCATTTGAGTTCCTATAGTTTTGAATTTTAAGTTTAAGAACAAAATTTTTACTCTATTTCATGATTCTATTAAAAGATTTGGCTACATTTCCAAGGAAAAGTGGAATGTGCCAAAAAGATGAAGTTCTCATTTCATTAGATTATTTTGACTTTTGATGTGTATGGATTGAATAAAGGAAAACAAACCAAGACCACCAAGAAAGGTGTCATAAGGTGTGTAGAGTTATTGAAAATAACACAAAACAAATATTTGTGGCTTCTTTCCTACTCCAATTATGAGAGGACAGAAATACTTCATCACCTTCACCACCTTTTTCCAAATACATATATATATATATTAACAATTAACTCAATAAGAAGATTATTGAACATTATGGAAGAATATAAATATATATATATATATATATATATATATATATATATTAACAATTAACTCAATACGAAGATTATTGAACATTATGGAAGATACACCAAAGTAAGTCAAAACTCAAGTGCCTTTCCCTTGTTACAGGAACATGCATTGTTTCTAACTACATTATGTTGGGCACACTTGAGCATAATGGTTTAGCAGAGTTACGAAATTATACTCTTATGGATATGGTGAGAAGTATGTTGTATAATTTAAATTTACCTAAAAATTTATGGGGTGAAACCTTAAAGATGGTTTTTTGTATACATCCTGAATAAGATCCCTATTAAAGTGTATTTAATACTCCATATGATTTATGGAATGGTAGGAAACCCCAATCAGGATATTTTCATGTTTGGGGTTGTTCAATTGAGATAAAAGTTCACAACCCATAACT